TAATAAGATTACTGACATTTAGAAATGGGAAGAAAGGAGCTAAAGGTGTAGGGAAGGTGGGATGGGTAGGGGAAGAGTAAAAAGGGAAAAGAAAAAAATGTGAGAGAATGAAAAGATGAAAATAAAGTGTTTGTAGATGGGGAGGGGAGGAGGGGGTGAAGGGAGGGCAGAGGTAAGGGGAAAAAATGAGAATCAAGACTTGTCATGTAGAGGTACAAGATCCCAACAATGAATGTAACTGTACTGTATCCCTAAAATGTACCAATAAACTCAATTAAAGCTGAAAAAAAAAATAAGTGACCATAGAACAAAACAGCTTAGCTAAAAATGTTATAAATCTTTAATTTAAAATTATTTTTTAAATTTAAGAAATATAAAGTGCAGTGTGTTCAGTTCATTCAAAAGGGCTGGTTGTAACTCAGATTGGTCAGTTGCCTTCAAAGTCTCTCTCCTGTATAAAGGCAGATCTCAGTGTCCTGAGAGAGACACTGGCCCAGGGCTTCTCAATCCCACACAGGAAAGGATGCTGTGAAATTCCTGACAGAACTCTTTAGGGGTTACATCTGTATCTGAGACCATCTGGAAGCACAAGAGGCTGGCATTCCGGTTGTAACTCAAGACCGTGGTCATAAGTTAAAAGTAAAATTCCAGGGCCAGCCCACTCTGTTTGTATGTCAGGCCAGTTTTAACTTGAGGGTCCACTGTGTTTTGAAAGTTGTGTTAATGTTATTTTGTTGTTAAAATATTTCTCTGTCACTCTAAGAATTTAAATCCTGTTAAATAAACATCTAATGATACTAATGAGACAAAGCAGAAGAAAGCTTTCAGAAATTAAAATGAGCGAAACACAACACATCAAAGTTAATGATAAAATAGTGTAATTTCTATGGAAAAACTGAGGGATTAATTTAATTTTTATAGGAATTGAGGATTCATTTTAGTCTGTTCCTGGAACTCAGAAGAGATTTTTTGAAAGATACTTTAAATGGATGGAATTAAGATTGGAGGTTGGGAAGGAGGATAGTTGAATGAACAGATATCAGTGAAATTAAGGGAGAAACTACTTGTTAATTTCACAAATCTGAAGATAAAAAGCTAAATATTAATTTAATTATGTAAAAACTGATAAACTTCATTCTTCCATTGCCAAACAAATCCATTGTGTGTCTGCTTGGTGCTCCACACTTTCCTAGAGAATAAAAGATGAAGAATTGGTCTAACAGTTGAACATACTTGGGGAACGTGTGCTATATTTCCTGGCTCTGTATGAAATGTCACTCTGGGCTACACCCTGTCTGGAGGAAGTGAGCAGAGCGCCTCATTTAGCATGTGTGGAAATGATGCTGCAAAGGGGAGATCAACACCATGATGAAGGTCCTAGGGCTGCTGCAGCAAGGAAAGAGAGAAAATGCTTAAGCCCGGCCCCACGGTTAGAGAATACATCAAAGAGAGAAGTGTTGAACTCTACCTTAGTCAGGGATTTTGGGAGTTGTGACGAAATTCACACCATATGATTTATAACAAAAACAACCCTGTGCTGGGGGTGCAGAGGGAGAGGGATAACTTGTAATGACGCATGGGTATCTCCAGACACCAGCTGCCAAAGCGGGGAGGGAATCTGGGGCTTGCACAGATTTAAGTCAGAAGATGAAACAGTCTCAAGTAGCCAGGCCAAACAAGTGCAAGTTTTGTCAGTCACAGGAGAGCTGGGTGAGGTCTTTCTTGGAGTATCTTTGGTGTACAGCACACAGCAAGGGCTCCATGACAAATGCTGAGGCATGAGACTGAAACATGGGTTAGGGACAAACTGTGAGCACATAGTAAGTCTTGCTACTCAGACATTTGACCCTTATTCTGTGAACAGTTGTGAGACAGAAGCTGGTTCATTATATACATGCTCATATTTGTGTTTGTATATTCTAAATGGAAATTAGATATATTCGTATATTCTAAATGGGGATGTGCGAGGTGTTTTTAAGATCACAGATCCAAAGGGGTGGTGTAGGGGTTGTGAATGGCTCTAGCTGAGGGAGCAGAGCATAAAGAAAGTGAACACATTTCCAAGATAGGTAACAAGTCATGCTGGGAAGAGCCTGCCTTGTGGATCCAAATCCACATCTATTATTTTATTTGCTGGTTGAGCTTGTGTAAGCTCTTGACATCTTTATATTTATTTTCTTCATCTGTAAAATAATCATTTGCAAGATCCTTTTGAGGATTAGAAATAATAAACATGTATTGCCTAGAATATTGCTGGGTACCTCATAGTAATTCAGCAAATTGTAATCTAAGTGGTACTGCCATTAAGAATATAGAAAGAAAAACAAACCTAGGGAGAACAAAAATTTGTATTATTCCTTTATAATACACATTTATAAGAAACGGTTTAGCTGCCTCTGGGGAAGGGAATGGGGGAGTGGAAGTCTGGGTAGGAGGGAGATTCCTGCTTCACATGCCGTCTACTAAAAAACAAGATAATTTAAAAAGTGTAAAACTCACAACCCTGGAGCTGAAGGGAGGGGTAAATCCTGGAAATAATTGGGAGCCAACTGGACACGGATTGATCGTGAATCAGTCTCACTGGCATAAATCCGGAGTCACTTGGCTTTGTTGCTTCCAGGCCCATGGTGAGGCAGAACGTCGCAGTGAGGAGCACATAGTGGAGTCAAGCTGCTCACCTTATGGCAGATGACAGGGAGGGGAGAGACACAGAGGCACGGAGACTGAGCTAAAACAGGGCCTGATGCAAGATACACCCTGCCAGGGCAGGCCCCCAGTGACCTACTTCCTCCATGTAGCCCTTCCCCTCATATTTCCACCACCTGATGTCATTAGATTATGAATCCATTGATGGTTCAACCTATTGGTGAGGTCAAACTGTCACGATCCAGTCACTTTCCAAAGCCTATCTCTGACCATTGCTGCAGTTGGGATCAAACCTTCAACATAAGCCTTTGGGAGACATCTCAGGCCGAAACCATAACACCTGTGCACCTTCTTACTACCCCTGTTCCCTAAGAGCTCTTTGAGGGAGGGTCTGCTTTCAACAGATCATTATCTCCTTGGATTTCAAATTCCGATAAAATGCCTTATTACATAAAATCCATATGTAGCCACTTTTTCATCAAGGCAAACAGTGTATTCTGACATATAATATTCATAAGAGGGGAAGAGGAAGAAGATCCAATCAGCTATAAATGAGAATAGAAATTTAACTACTTATAGGTTTACTCCCACTTAGCATCAGATTGATGGGCCATTTGTTTGAAATGAAATCCAGCCTTGGTTCTATTGATTTTGTTTTTCAAGTAGTGGCCATGTGTTTAAACTTATTTTACATATCACTAAATGGTAGAGAAATTAAAATCTCTGTTTAAAGATCGATGCACAAGTTGATTTACTTATTAAGATAAATTTATTTTAATCAATGACTACCTATATTTTATAATTCCAGCCTGCAACAAATAATGATAGCACTGAAAAAAAGCTTCTTATCTTTTAATAATTTTAATGCATTATATTTTAACTATTCTAATGTACAATATGCTGTACAGCCTATTTTGGAAGCAACTAACACATTGAAAAGTGATAATATCAAAAGAGAGACATTTTTAGCAAAAAAAATCAGAACATAGTCACAGTTTTCAGTTTATTGTCATTTACTCATTTAACAAAAAATTGTTCGCTGAAAATATGAAATTGATAAAAGTTATTTTAGTTCAATGAGTTATTTATTTGAATTATATTTTATTTCTACAGATAATTTCTGACCCTAGACTTCGCTTTGAATTAGCACTTCGAGAAGCTGGACTTCATAAAACATTATATGCCAAAGAGATATTACCAAAAATCAATCCACAAAAACCTCCAAGAAAGGACATGGAATCTACTGTTTTTAAAATCTAAGCCTCATGCTAAAATTCCATAATATGTAAACAAGATTTTTCTTTGAGAACATTTATATGGATAACAATAATTACCATTTTCTAAAATCTCAGACATAGAAATCATATCATCTGCTGAAACAACTTTGCCCTTCTTTTATGATGGTTAAAATTTTATGTACCATCTCCTATATTTTATTTTTATTTTTTATTTTTTATTTTTTTGGTACCAGTGATCAAACTTGGGACCTTGCTCTTAAAAGGCAAACAGCAGAACCACTGAGCTAAATCCCCAGCCATTTCCTGTATTTTAAAGTTATATTTAATAGCATCAAATTCACCAAGATTATGGAATTTAATCATGGTGAATATACCATATTACTCTTTGTAAATATACTATCATTTAATAAACTGTAGTTGGGAGGTTGTGTTATCTTATGAAAAAGATCAAAATAACCATTTGCACGAATTATAAATGATGTAGCTTCTATCTGCCATTCATTTCTGCTTGTTATTTCAGAATTTGACTTTTTAATTGTAAGAGCTTTGTTATCATTAATACTTCTATAATTTTTAATACTTCTATAATTTTTTGATTATTATAAGAGGAGATTCAACCTTTCTCTAAATTTAGAAACCAATTTGGTATACCATGTTTACTGCAGAGCAATCATACAATCAATTTCATTTTGCAAATTAGCCCTTAAGAATACATTAGAAATAGCAATTCAAGCATGGGAATATCTATTTTGGTTTGAGAAAAAAGGTACTTGTGTAGTTGTTTAAAAGGAATACATAAACATGTGTGATATTTGGAATGCTGTCAAAAGTTCCAAATTTAAATACCCAGTTGATTTTATAGAAAAGTATTTCAAATAAAATTTCAAATAAGTTTTATACTATTTCAAAGAAGTGGTTATTCCATCAAGCAAAGGAGAGTTGTTACAAGTTGCCGTTGCTACTGTTAAAAAGATTACCAAACTTTTCCTCTCTCTGTTGAGCTACCTGAATTTCCACCTACCTCCAGTCCTGGTGTTGTACTCTTCTGGCAATCACTGGGATAACGCAAAACAGACACAAACCCGCCCGACTGGTGGAATGTTTGTCTTCATGATTGTTCCCCAGATCATGAGAAAAAGTAAAACAAGTTCAGGCTGTCAGAATAAACCCTCACAGCAAATTCTAGGCCATGCTCCTCATTCCAGAATTCATTCTAATATTCTTCCGGTTCAGCCTTTTGCATCACAGTGACGTCTCACAAGCACGGGGGAAAGCAATCTTTAACAAGAGGTAGGCAGCAGTGGGTCATGGTGTTCAGATGAAGGGCTCCTCCCAGGGTTTTAATGCTCTTTATGGGCCTCAAATCATAAACCTACAGAAGCCTTGCTACATCCTCTCCCCAACAGCAAGGCATGCATCCTCTTCAGGGTCCTTGTCAACGTCTACACCCAGACCGATGTCCGGGGAATCACACTCAAATTCCAGCAAGATATCAAGTCTTGCACATTTTCCAACAGTGTACTACATTTTGAGCAAAATGAAAAGTTGATATGTTGTGGCTCTGATGAAAGCATGGATTGAGATTTAGGCAGCATTTAAGCCATTGGCTGTGCCTAGACTCATACCCCAATAATTTTCTTTCTTTTAAAAAATAGTATGAATGGTATTTACCACTCATTGAGTACAAACTGTGTGCTCAGCGTCAATATGTTCTTTTCATGTCCCTTACTTGGTTATCATAATGACCTTGTGAGATTTTACAAATAAGAAAGTATCTCAGAAAGCTAAAATAATATGCCCTCGATTGTTGTTTTCAAACTGAGCAATTAAGTTAATTTAGTGAGTTCTGACCAGCATTTTAAAGTGAGACAAAGTAAAATAATCTGAAATCTAACCGGTTACTAAACATATGAGATGATAGAAATACTAGTTAAAACACCCAATGAAATGCCAGTGCACACCCACTAGATTGCCAACGATACCAAAAAAAAAAGTCACAATGTCAATTACTGTTGATACAGAACAAAAGGAAGCGTGAACTGGTACACACTGGAAAAGTTCAGACTCGCTAGGTAAAATTAAAAGTGTTCATGCTCTCAGATTCAGCAACTCTATCCTAGATATGTCCTTGAGAAGCTCCTGCATAAATATGGAAGCAGACATGAATTGGATTCCCAAAAGAAAATAGGCCAAATGTTCATCGATAGAATAGAAGCTGGACATGGTGGCACACACCTGTAATCCCAGCTACTTGGGACACTCAAGGAGGTGGGTAGTAAGTTCAAGTCCCTCCTGGGAAACTTAGTGACATGCTGTTCCAAAACAAAGTATAAAAAAGGGTGGGGTCGTAGCTCAGGGGCAGAGTACTGCAACAGAATTTGATGGCTTTTGGTCCCACACACGGATGGGTGTAACACACTACTAAGTGTGTCCGGGAGGACCATGGCTTTGGGGTCAATATTGGTCCCTTGCCTCTTCTCTTCTGGTGCTGTTCCCCTCCTCTGCTCCCCAGTTGCCATGAACTAAGCAGGTTTGCTCTGCCACATCCTTCTATCATGAGATTCCCACCTTAGATGTTCAGCCAATTATGGACTGAAACCCTGAACAAATTAAAGTTCCCCTCCTTTAAGTTATAGGTGTTGCATATTGTGTGCCAGTGATGGAAAAGTAGTGCTCACCTAGCATGCACAAGGCCATGAGTGCAATGCTCAGTGCTGCCCCCAAAAAGACTGAAAATAAAAATTGTGGTTTATTCATTTGTAGAATTACATGTGGCAATGAAAATGAAAAATATACATCAACATGAACACCATATTTATTGAAAGGAGCCAGTTGTAAAAGCATACATATTGCATTGTAGCTTATTTATATAAAGTATGAAATTATGGCAAACTAACCCATATTGTTTAGGTAATAAGATAATAGAGAAAAAATTATTAAAATAAAATTATGATAATGATTATCTCTAGAGAGGCAGATGGGGATGAGCACTTCCAAGTTACTGAAAATGTTTTATTGGCTAACTAGGATAATGGTTACATGGTGTTTCTAGTCATTTTCTAAAGTTTACGTGTTTTAAACTTTACATACTGGCTCATGCCTATAATCCAGCAATTGGGAGGCTGAGACAGAAGGATCCCTGCACAGGATACATAGTGAGTTTAAGGTCAGCTTGAAGTATGTGTCAAGACCCCGTTTGGAAAGAAAAAAAGTTAATTCCCCACAAAATTAAAAGAGAATATTAAGAAAACAAGTTATTAAAAGCATGACTTATTAATATACAATTGCATGGAAATACTTTCTTAAGTTATTTCTCATATCCCTAATACACATGAATTTCTGAAGTAAGAAGACCTGTCGCTGCTTGGGAGTCGTGTTTACCTTAACATAGATGAGATCCCCTAATTCCTCTTCAGTCCAGCACTCTGCTTCACTTTGGCTCTTGTCTAGTTTGCCTGGCTGGCTTGAAAAAAGAAGCATCCATTCCTAATAGGACTAAGCATTGATCTAAATAAAATGTGATTTCATTTCTCTCTCTGTCTTTCTGTGTCTTGTCTCGGTCTTGGTCTCTATCTTTTTTATTAGTCTGTATCTCTGTCTTTGTAGTTATTTAATTTTTGTGTGTGTGTGTCTTTGTTGTGATCATAATAAAACTGTATTTCTTACTGAGTCACAGTCCAAAACAATTAAAAACCACTACCTTCAATCCGATGCTTAATAAATGGTATAGTCTGATTCAACTCCACATCTTTGAAGATAACAGACTTGTCTTAAGTTGGAAGTAAAAATGCATCTCATCTGGTAAGAATTTTGCTTCCTTCCCATCACAGTTCAGCACACACACTAGAATCTGCATTTCCCCTTTGCTTCCTTTAGCAGAGGGAGCAGCTATCCCGGTATCAGAGACCCCTATTTTCATGTGTGTTTTGGGTTTAATTTTTCTCTCAACTCCACAGAGTTTATTTTATTCTCTTTCTTCTCTATATCTTTAAACTCTCCCTCAGAATATAAATATGTTGGGATAAATCCCAACTTTTAAATATATCCCAATTTAAAAATAAATCTCCTTTAACCCCTACATTATTCCTAGGCACCTGGCTATTTCTCTTCTCCTCTTCTCAATAAACTTTAAACAGTTACCTGCAAAAATCTGTTGTCTCTTCTTCTCATCTTCCAGGTATTGTCAATTACCCTGATTTAGTTTTGACTTCATCAAACTCCATATTCGCAAATGATGATGTTTTTCAATCTTCAGCTTACTGACTTTGTGAAAGAATTTGATTTAGATGACAATAACCCCATCGTGGAACACACTCTTGATTTCTGAGATACTACCTGCCCTATTACTGCCACTTTTGTCCCACATCAATTCCTTCACGGATTCTCCTGTCCGTCTCTAGGTGTGAGCCCCTTTAGCTCTATCTCTCTGTGTTGTTGTCACCGAAGGGAAGGAACATCCTTACGTACTGTGGTTTTAGCTTTTAAATTAGGACCTTTTAAAATGGTACCAGGGATCGAACTTGGAACCTTGAGCTTGAGAGGCAGGTGGCGGCACCTTGGAGCTAAATCCCATGTAAATTATCTACAGGTTTCCTCTTTCTTTCTTTTACACTGTTTGCAGTTTATTTAATGAAGGAACAAACACATATACATGTAGAATTTCCTACTGTGGGGCTGGTGATTTAGCTCAGTGGCCCCGCACCTGCCTGCCTTACAAGCACAAGGTCCTGAGTTCGGTCCCCAATACAAAAAAAGAAAAAAATTCCTATGGTGGATTTTGCTTACTTTATCCCTTGGGACATATATATATAGTCCTTGGTCCTCTCTGTCTTTTGCATTTTCTATAAATCATTAGTTTATCTGAAGTCGTCAACTGGACCACCTGTACATGGCCCTCCACATGGCTTGGACTTCTCATACAATGTTAGGTAGCAGGATTCCAAGATGAAACTGTCCAAGAGCTAGCATACTGGGGGAAAAAGTACTGGAACTGACCTAATGTCTCTTTCTAACTGTATTTATCAGAGTGTCACATACGTCTCTCTGATTCACAATAGTTGAGAAATGTCCTCCATATTGATGTGTGGGAGTGGTAAACTTACATTGTAGAAGATTTATGTGAAATAGGAAATTGTGCGCCATCTTTGAAAATCTGTCGCATTTGTTATTTGGCATGACAAGATGTTCCAGCTCATTTTAAACATTTCCTGCTGTGACTGGAATCCATCTTTTC